TGGGGTGCCCGTGCTCGTTGGTGAGCTAGAGCCATTTTTCAACCGACAGAGCTCAATATCAAGGCAAATCTGTCATGTTTTCAATATGCGCGTGCACGAGCGCGCGGTAATGACGACATAAATTATGCGCAGTAAGGATGTGCGATGCAAATGTGAGAAATGACCTTAAGCCAGTTTTTGATAAGTGGATCTTTGAAAATTCCCAATCTGGCTATAATGAATTTGCAACTAACATTTAGGCAGAGTACTTCACCGCCTTTGAATTGGCAGAAATAATGAGGCAAAAAGATGACAAAGAATTTGCTAAGCTACCCAATCGTTTGAGAGAGGGAAAGCACTCTGAAGATGATAGAACCATTTTGAAACAAAGACTTGCCAATGTAAGGCCTGGACAAGATAATTACCCTATGGACATGGCACATTTATTTTACTACAAATGCATCCGTAGATGCTTAAACACTGCTCTCTATAACCTCTCTAAAACTGATAAAGCTCAGGTTAAGGCTGTGGACATTATAGTTGGGGACATTTCTGATGATCTNTTCCCAATCTGGCTATAATGAATTTGCAACTAACATTTAGGCAGAGTACTTCACCCTCTTTGAATTGACAGAAATAATGAGACAAAAAGATGACAAAGAATTTGCTCAGCTACCCAATCGTTTGAGAGAGGGAAAGCACTCTGAAGATGATATAACAATTTTGAAACAAAGACTTGTGAAGGTAAGGCTTGGACAAGATAATTACCCTATGGACATGGCACATTTATTTTACTACAAATGCGTCCATAATGCTTAAACACTGCTCTCTAGAACCTCTCTGAAACTGATAAAGCTCAGATTAAGGCTGTGGACATTATAGTTGGGGACAATTCTGATGATCTCAAGAAACAAACGAAAAACAAAATCCCAGATGATCCAACAAAGACAATGGGTTTATATTCGCTAGTGTCAGTAGTAACTGCAACAAAATATGACTAACAACTAATATTGATGTGATTGACGGACTCACCAATGGTGCAGAGTGTGTCATAGAACACACAGACTACCGAGTTGAAGTTATCATATGACAAATATTCAGTGGACAAAGTTTGAAGAAAAATCTATTGTCCCTTTTATTTCAGAGGAATTCCCTTAAAAGCTGGAAAAGATCTCCAACAGTTACCAAGCTTATTCCACCAAATGGTTCATTAGTTGCCATAATTTGTTGTAATCTTAAGTTCAAAAAGCTGAACTACCACTTTCAACCATAGAAATCTCATCAATGAAAATCACCCTAAGTTTGTTTGGTATTGCTCTAATGGTATTTAGTCTCTCAGTCTGTCCAGTGCACAATACACAAAACCTCTACTGGCAGGCGTCTTAAATGCAGCGTGAAGTGTAAGGTAGTGTATTACCTTTAATATAGAATGTTGCCTTACAAGTATGGACAGTCTTGACAACATTCACATGATCTGGATTTTCCCCAGCGATACTATTTAGAAATCTGATCAGAGCTTCATACAATGCATTTGCAACAGTACTTTCGTCAACTCCAGCACCTCCACTTAAGAATAATCTTTTGTTTTAATTGAGTGTAAGACATGATAAAAAACTGTCTTTGTTTTTCATTCAAAGAGCAGTCGACCCTGTACCAGAGCTACTTTCCGAACGAAATAATCCCCCTCGTATAAAAGGCATAGTAAAAAATACGACACAACAAGGAGGCTTACCTCAGCTTTCAGATGATACAGCATTCATTCCCCGTTGCATTGTTTTGTCCTCCGGGTGACATTTTAAAAGACTTTAAAACGATTGGTCCTCGGTCGTGACTCGCCTTTTAGCATCGTAGCTTTAAAGATTTCGAAGTGAGCATCGTAGCTTTCAGGATTTCAATATCCATTGCCGAAACTAGTGTTCCTTCCTTGTAAAATTGAAGCGCGGGGTTTACGCTATGCTGCCGCGCAAAAATGGTATAGTACGTCCTTCTAGTCTTTCCATGTCCATTTGTCGCAGCTACTGTTACTTAGTTTAACAACTTTCCATTTTAAAACTCCACGGATTGAAACAAAAACCATCTTCGTGCTGCGTTAACCGCCAATGTATAAACTACATGTTATCGGACAAAATTTAGCCTTTCTAGTCACCCCTAAACTCTGCTAAACCTCAAGGACGGAACACAGAACAAGGGTCTGAAACAAAAACCATACTTAACAGGGGAGGGATAGGAGAAAACTATTTAATCCAGTTTTAATAAATGAATTAATCAGAATGGAGTGAGGAGTGCGCTATATTTTAGAAGTCTCGCGCAAATCGACTTCCGGTAAGACGAATCGACAGCAAAGGAGACGATTCATGTCGATTCGATCGAATCGAGTCGAATCGACAACATTTTCAACCTACCCTGCATAGCCCAGATGCGCTATATTTTCGAAGTCTTGCGCAAATCGACTTCCGGTATGACAAATCGACAGTAAAGGTGACGATTCGCGTCGCTTCGATCGAATCGAGTCGAATCAACAACATTTTCAACCGACCCTCAAAGCCCAGATGCGCTATATTTTCTAAGTCTTGCGCAAATCGACTTCCGGTATGACAAATCGACGGTAAAGGTGACGATTCGCGTCGCTTCGATCGAATCGAGTCGAATCGACAACATTTTCAACCCACCTTCAAAGCCCAGAGTGCTGTATTTTCTAAGTCTCGCGCAAATCGACTTCCGGTATGACGAATCGACAGCAAGGGAGACAATTCGTGTCGCTTCGATCGAATCGAGTCGAATCGACAACATTTTCAACCCACCTTCAAAGCCCAGAGTGCTGAATTTTCTAAGTCTCGCGCAAATCGACTTCCGGTATGACGAATCGACAGCAAGGGAGACGATTCGTGTCGCTTCGATCGAATCGAGTCGAATCGACAATATTTTCAACCCACCTTCAAAGCCCAGAGTGCTGTATTTTCTAAGTCTCGCGCAAATCGACTTCCGATAAGACGAATCGACAGCAAGGGAGACAATTCGTGTCGCTTCGATCGAATCGAGTCGAATCGACAACATTTTCAACCCACCTTCAAAGCCCAGAGTGCTGTATTTTCTAAGTCTCGCGCAAATCGACTTCCGGTATGACGAATCGACAGCAAGGGAGACAATTCGTGTCGCTTCGATCGAATCGAGTCGAATCGACAACATTTTCAACCCACCTTCAAAGCCCAGAGTGCTGAATTTTCTAAGTCTCGCGCAAATCGACTTCCGGTATGACGAATCGACAGCAAGGGAGACGATTCGTGTCGCTTCGATCGAATCGAGTCGAATCGACAATATTTTCAACCCACCTTCAAAGCCCAGAGTGCTGTATTTTCTAAGTCTCGCGCAAATCGACTTCCGATAAGACGAATCGACAGCAAGGGAGACGATTCGTGTCGATTTGATCGAATCGAGTCGAATCGACAACATTTTCAACCCACCCTGCATAGCCCAGATGCGCTATAAGTCTCGCGCAAATCGACTTCCAGCAAGACGAATCGACGTCAAGGGAGACGAGTCGTGTCAATTCCATCAAAGAGGGTTCTCGAATCGACTTCCGTTGGTCGAATCGTCAATTCCAGAGACGAATCGACTCTATTTGGGTGTATTGGACAACCCTCATTGCCGTCGTGGTTTCCTTAAACTACCTCAGTATTTTTAAAGAAAGAAAACAGTCCACGTTCGAATTTACGTTTCACTTAGTATTAATATAGTCTGTGAACCCAGCTAGTAAGGTTTGCATAATGAGGTTTAGTTTCATCAGCATTACTTATACAGTAGAATTAAAAAAAACTAATCAAGAATTATATTTGGTTGCAGGATTTTACTGTTTTCGTCAATTTTTGTTACTTATCTGTCAAACAGAGATTGCGTTCAAATAAGGAGTAGATACTAGAACTGATTGTTATTAACAAGTGCGATAAACATCTCATGAAATGAAGCAGTAATTAAAATGGAAGATAAGATCAATCATTTTGTCATTGCACAGGCAGCTTGGATAATTTATAGTTATACTTATTGTTAAATAACAAAGCGGATCAAAATGAGAATGACCATGCATGTGTAAGGTCCCAGGATATTTAGTACTACAAGGAAAAAAAGAGTGAATGAAATAAAAGCAGAAAACAAAAGCTGATGCCTAAGTGTTTACATCTTCTTATCGACTTCACTGATTGCTTTGTTTAGTCTTCCTATTTAAATTATTTAATTTCTAAAAACCGCAAAGTCCTTGTGGTTCTTTCTTTCGCTTTTTCTTCCATTTATTTCCCTTTAGGGCCAAAGCTGTTTGACCGTATCTTTCACTGCTTTTCTGAAACTTCTGATCTTCCAACAATAAAGAACCGGATTCAAGGTCGAGTTTAGGTACACAAGAGCCGCTGAAAATCCCCAAAGAGCATGAAGAAATGTAGATGATCCATTTACTGTAACTATAACTATAACTATGCTATACGGCAAATAACAAATGACTAGCGTCAGCTGAACCCACAGTGCGGTAAATACTGTTTTTCTATACCGTGCAATGTTCGCTAGAATTTCCCCTGCGTTGGCTTTTTCCTCGTGATTTACATGCAGTCTTTGGCGCAGCACGAGGTATATTTTTGAGTAGCAAGCTGCTGAAATCAAGAGACACACTAAAATTATTCCGTGGCGAAAGCTGAACGGGATTTTATACTTCCAAACGGAAAATGAGGCAAACACGATGCTGGAGATCCAAAACGAAATCACAACGGCTCGTGTTCGCTCCACAGTTACAATGTGTCTGTATCTTACTCCTGATAAAAGAGCAAGAAGTCTGTCGACGCTGATAGCAGCCAACGTCAAGAGAGACACCGTGCAAAGGATTGTAAAAGACACCGTGGAAACAGCAGCAGAGTAGAAACAAACTCCCAGCCAATGCTTGCGATCTCTTTCTTTTTGGAGCGTCATCGAGTAGACAGCAGCGCTTGGTTCCGATATCAGCCCAACGAGGAGGTCAGTTGTAGCGAGTGTGCAATACAGTAGTTTTGATGGAGGATGAAGAGAAGACTCCTTTCGCGAAGCAACCAGTATAAGTGTATTCCCTAGGAAAGCGGTTACCGAGAGGAAATAGTGGATAATCGAGAGAAGAAGCGGGTGGTTCCCCAATGATTGGTCAGTGCAATACAGATTTTGAATGGATCCATATTCTTCCTTAGTGAAGTTTTCCATTTCATTTATCAATGCTTGCGTGTTATGTGAATTACTCTTGAGTCATCTGCGACTGTGGCTGAATCGCCACACGTTATGTAATGGGAGCTTTGACTTGAAATGGTGCCTGCTAATGGCAATAATGGGTTTTGTCGGCTCACGATTCCCATACACCTGCCTGTAAATAACGACGCAACACCTTGTAAACCTCAAGATCGGATGGAAACTCATTACTTCTTCTTGAAAATCATCTTTTCTATCTTTATTATTGGTAAGCCACCTTTGATGGTACCTTTTCGAATTGATTATTATCCGTGCCTGTTCGCTATATTCGAATTCTGTTTTAATTCAATCTGCCTCATCATCAACAAGAAATAATAAAATTGCGATAATCACTTTTTGTTTTTCTGATATTTTATCATTAATAAACAATGAAAATATTTCAAGGTCCAAAAACTTTTAAAAGGATTTTCTATAAGCTAACAAACATTAAAAGCTCGGAAGTCCTGTCTTCCTTAATAATTTCAATTCCTGTCTTTCTTAATAATTTCAATTATTGCGAGTCATCCTTGTGAAACATCCCGCCTCTCAGATCTATTTCTCCATTTTGAGGTCTGTAAGACACATATTTTTATCCAACCGATTTCTGAATATACTGTAAATTGTTAAAATTGGCTTTGGCTTCAAAATGATTAGATAAAAAAAGGAACTGAAAAGGAAAAAAAATACAAACAAGTATTTTTTATCCTCAGGCTTTATCTTTCTCTGTCAAGAATTGACCAAATTATTTTAGTTTATTTTGAGTAATGCAGGTAAAGTTCATTTTCAATAATTGAGTATCTCGTACCAAACCAATTGAATTTCTGGTATTTGATTCTGAGGCCATCGCGGTCTTAATCGTGACTATATTGCACTTCGAGGAAGTAATGACTGTAAATTTCGTTTTCTTAATTTGTGAACTTTAAGGGGTCAGAAAATGTCGCCTTTGATACAAAATTTGGCGTTTTCAATTGTGTGCTCAAGTAAGTATACATGACGTCTATTACAAGAAATCGGATCCTTTCTTCCTTTCTGCCTTCCATCTACTATAGTCTTTATAGCGAGCTATTGTTGAAAGAAATATGTCAATGTTGAAAAAGTTGAAAGGTACCTTAAAATATTTACATGTTATGTTTATTAAGGATACTGGAGAATAAATAAGGAAGTAGTAACAAAAAAGGAAGAAAATAAAAGCTTTTTGTACATCGTTCCATTAAGCCTCCTGTCAAAAGATCCGAGTCAACTTTTCATAAAAATTCTCAATTTCGGGAAAATGGTTGAAAACGTTCATTAAATGATTTAAGAAAAAAGTTTCCAAAATATTGTAGGTCTTATATTGGCCATTACCTTCTTACAATGACAAGGTTTTCTCGATTCATGCAGGATAAGAATCTTTTCGCAGGCCCGGGTCGTTAAACTCGAAACGAGTTTGGTATAAGGGATGTCTTTATGTTTATTTACGGCGCTTCCAGAAGGACGACAGAGATTGCTGGCAAACGCGACGCTTTCAGTGTGATAAGCGGTCAATAAATGACGCACGCCAGAGCTGAGTCATCGACATTATTTTCCTACTTCCATAGATGAAATATATAATAAATGAATAACAAATACAACTTAATGACATCTTGGTTAAATTACATTTTTGATGTCATTTTTCTCCGAGAAGCTATATCGCTATGGCTGTCGCAATGGCCGAAGGCTTCCACTTCTGGAAGAACACTGGAAGTATTTGATAAAAGAAACCAATCACGAGCAAGCAGCACATCAAAAAGACACTAATCGAAGGCTGAAAACTTGCGTTTTGTGCCTTTGTTGATTCTCAGGACCCTGCAAGCTCTGCCATTGATGATACCTGGTTTAACTACTAAAAGGCGTCTCTTTGCCATGAATTAATTTTGCAATCATGTTATCTTGTTTGAATTATATATTATAAATTTGAGGGAAAACCTCCAAGTTGTACCATGAGCAACAAATAAAATTGTGAATGAGGCCGCTGCCCTCCAAACAATTTCAGCGAACCAAGTAATTTGATTTTCAGTTCTTTTGAGGGCTATCTTACATTCTAAGAGGATCAACCGAACATGAAAAGATGGACCGTGTCAATGCATCAGAATAGGCCGTTTTTGTATTCTCGGTATTGGACTGGAACTAGCTCCCAAGTGAGGCTAATGCGGGGAGTCTTTTGAAATTCAACTGACATTAATCTTTATATAACGATATTCCCCCGCATGAGCCTCCATTGCAAGCTAGTTCCAGTCTAATACCGAGAATACGGAAATTGTCTGTTATACTGGTCACCGATTAATACCAGTCAATCTATATCTTGATCGACTGACCGGTCTTTACCAGGATAAATAAAGTTATTATTATTATTATTATTATTATTATTATTATTATTATTATTATAAGAGCTACTCCGTTATTTAAATTGGCGTTTATGGCTGTCACAATATGTCCGGCCATCTTTTTGTTTTTGTATATAGGTGGCAAGGTATTATTACTCCGAAGGATCTCTTCTTCAGCAGTCTTAAAAAAAATATATGTGGGTGATTTCGCAAAAAACACACCCGCTAGATTTCGCCTTGAATCCAGGACTAGCCGGCGGCTCTAGACCTGGGAAGGGGACTGGGTTCGTCTGGGGACATGGCCCAGGCACTGGCGTATCTGCTGATGGTTTGCTGGCAGCCAGCTGTCAAAATCAGGGGGGAAGGGAGGGCGTCTTACACTGACACCTCTGCAAAGCTAGACCTTCAGTTTTCAGTGCCAAATAACCTTGATATTGACTGTGTTGATATTGACTGTTGCTCAGTTATTGAACCTTCTTTGAGGGTTCTGTGTTGATATGGCACCCTGCTGGAGAGTTCCATGCCACGCGCATGTATGACGGGCCAGTATTCTAGCCAGTGGGGTGGTCAGAGTAATTCTGGGCGCTGAGACTGTTTTTGAGCTGTCTCCGGGCACGTTTTTGCGAATACCGTCAGATATATATACTTCTAAAACCGAAGAAAATCTTTTGAAGTTGAAAAAATTGCTAGAAAAGTACAAATTTTAGAGGTCTTATTGGCGATTAAAGAAAATGAAACAAAAACAAACAAACTAACAAACAAACAAACATACAACAACAACAACAAATTAGAGTGGCTCTAAGATTGTTGATTTTAGATTTCGATGACGTCACGTGACAACAGAGAATAGACCACGTATTTCTTTCGAAAACACATATATCATATCAACAAAGATGTTGCCTTCGAATTCTAGTTTAATTTTCTCTTATTATACGGTAATACATATGGCATGGATAATTAACATCTTGAGACCTAGCCTCTTGCAGGCATTCAGGTAGTTCGAGAGCAGTGCGGGAAACGGTGAGCGAAACAATTCGCGAGAAGTGCTCCATTCCTCTCGCCAAGCCCCTCTCTCCCTCGCTCGTTATCAAACTGAACGCCTGTAGCGACATAATTCAGCCGGCTGAGGTTTTAGCCCATGAATTGCTTAGGAATTGCTAAGATTGCTTAAAGCCCGCAACCGTGCCTCTTCCCGCTTAGCAAAGCCATTAAGGCAAAGAAAAATGGCTCAACGCTTGCATGCTTGCATTTCACTACCGGTGCTGATGGACATGCCAAAGAATTTAGACAGTATAAATCATAATATGTTGTTATCTAAATCTTACAGCCTTGGCTTGTCACCATCAGCACAGGAATGGTTCAACAGTTACCTTAAAGGAAGGTACCAACAAGTTCGAATTGGGGATACAGTTTCCCAGTCTCTTCCACTTGACTATGACGTACTACAGAGGGACTCATCCTTGTTATTGTTCTGGTCACTGGTTATATCAGTGATCTGCTATCTGTACCTAATAACAAGTAGTTTGGCGGCCAAACTGCTTGTTATGTTTATGATTCTCAAATCTATTTTAAATATAAAACTAGTGAGTTGCATGATGCAATCTCCGCAGTGAATTCTAATCCCAGAGAGTTTGTAGGTGGTGCTGTCAAATCTCCTTGCCCATGAGTCCAGATAACACCAAAATTCTTGTGATAGGTGTGCGAAAACAATTACTCTTTTTTAAAATTCCACTTTGTGTCAAACTGACATCACCAACACCTGTAGCAAAGGACCTTGGAGTGTTCTCATAGCAATACAACATATAACATATAGTATAATTCTTAAAAGCAGTGTAATATTGTAAAAAGGCCTCCTTTAGCCCTTAAGCCCAGTGAGATATCAAACTAAAACCAATTTAATGTTTGTGTGCTGCTCTGAGCTGACCTTGAAATTATAGGCACTTGGCGCTCTAAAATATAACTGTTTAAAATACCTAAAATGTAGCTTTTTGTAAGTCATTTGTTCTTGCAGAGTTGTTTCGGAGAGGAGCCGTCTGTACGTCATCTTTGACGTTACCAGTTTGCTTGCTCTTACTCCGAGACCGACACGGCGAGAACCAAGGAATTTAAAAATTGAAAATTCTTGCAGCATGCGCTACAGTATGAGCTTAGCTTAGGAAGTCCCTACGGTAAGTAATTGTTTTTCGTTACTGTTCCATTGGTTTCTCTGTTTACAGGACGGTATTGAGATCTTTCTCCTCCATATTTTCATTGGTTAACCCTGAACCAATCGACCTTCTTTTTTGTGAACTCCCTTTACCAAGCCGGGTGGTTGTGGTGGTCAATGAACGGCTGAGGTTTTTTTTTCTTAACACAAAGCGTTTGAAAGCTGTAATGAAATCCTTTTTGAAAAATGTATAGAGCAAGGGATTGACTATTGAGGTCACGTACCTAAAAATGGCGACCACTTGTGGTAGCTTTATGAGCATTTCAAGGGTTTCTTGGCTGAGTGGGAACCAGAACGAGAAATAAAGGCTGATGACAAACCACGGAAGCCAGCAAACCACGTATATGAACGCCATCAATCCAAAAATGATGAGACATTTTTTGTCGTTTTTTGCTTTTCTTTGGTCGGCCTTCCTGGCACCCAATCCCTGTCCACAACTCTTGGCAATGGCTTTGAAAGTGATGATTTGAGAAACGACGATCAAGATGCATGGTACCAGGAACACGAATGCCAAACAGAAAACTATATAGCCAAATTGTATCTTTCTAAAGGCAACGTCGTCGGTTAACAGCAGGAAACACCAAGCATACGGCATAAAGCCAACGACAGCGGCAACAAACCAAACGAGCAAAGCCACTTTCAGCATCGACTTCTTTGTCGACTTGAGGTGGGAAAAGGGCCACTTAATGCAGACGAATCGCTCAAGCGTGATTGCGAGAATGTGGTAAGCAGCTGATACAGCAATGAAATTGTTGAAAACGACGTTCAAATAGCCAAGATGTAGCCCCGGGAGGTTTATAGCTTGTAAAACAACAACGATAAACAAAGGAATACAAATGAAACCCGCCATAAAGTCGCACACCGCCAAGCTTAGAAGAAGGCAGTTGGTTGGGGTACGGAGCCGCTTACTTTTGGCAAACAGGTAGAAGACCATGCTGTTCACTATAACGATTACCACAGCGACAGGCAAGACTTCATAAATAACTTCATATTGTGGCTTCACGCCTTGGGGAGCTCCTTCAACATCTGGTCCCGCTGTGGTGTTCAAGGGGCACGAAACGTTGTCCAAAAGGTCAGTGGCGTTGGACATCTTGAGAAGAAATAACCAAAGACAGATGTACACTGTCACTCGGTCGTCTTACTGTGGGTTTCAGTTTAGTGCACGTGGAAGAGGCTGGGTTGCAATGCGGTTAACTTTATCAGGATCGGGGATTGCAGCTATCCTATCCTAGGGAGAAATTAAATATTTGAATGAAAGTTACTTCGCTTTCTTATTTCGTTAAATGTACACCAAAATCAATGGCCATCTGGTAACAGGATTCACTTGTACCGTTTAAACATTAAAAATGCACAATGAATGATTAACCCTATTTAGGTTGAACCTGAAGCCGAATCTTTAAAAATCAACCTCGTATGTCATGTAATGACCCTCTGAACCTTGCCTAGATCTCTTATCATTAATAACCATGTGTTACATTTTACGTTTAGAATCTCGCCTATTTATTGAATGATGCGTATTGAGTCAACTTACGAAGCGTTTAGCTCAATAATTTTGGATGACAGCTTTTTTTCTGGGGGGGGGGNGGGGAGGGGGTTGTCGTTGCGGACTGTAATTTGAATAGATCGACGGTTGCCATGAAGATCAAAGCACGCACTTTCTGTTGAAGTCCAAAAATAAAGGTGGAGCCAATTGCTAATTTTAGATCTTCTCGATTTCTGTTCTTTTTCTTTTGGAGCGGGGTGCGTTTGGTCGTATTTCAAGGAAAATTCATGAAATTCAAACGGCAAGGTGGTTTTTCAACATATTTTTTGAGTTTCTCTCCCTTTTTTGTCTTGTTTGTTTTATCAGTTTCTATGAAGGCAACCTATTTTTATTTTCTGGAAAGTACATCTTGTGCCCTTTCAAATGAGACATAGTAAACTGCATGCACTGCTGTAATTACTTGGCGAGATATTAAGAGTCTCTGTCCATAAAAATGGAAAATAACTCGGCAAGGGTCAAAACTTCGATTTCGCTCATATTTTCGTGGTAGATAGGTTAGGGCATGACAAAAACTACTGGATAGTTTTTTTGGCAAAATATCCTTTTATTTCAAAGAAATATGCAAATTACCAAANTAGCCTATCTACCATAAGAATATTAGCGAAATCGAATTTTCGACCCTTGCCGCGAAATTAAGAATTTGTCTGATTTTTACAGGCAGGCACTCTTAAATGAATAATATTATGCGTTAAAATTTGACGTTGCTGTATTGTGACAGAGTTGAGCTAACCCTAACCCTAACCCTTAAAAACGTCACACAATTTGCTACCTTAGGCCCAGGTCAAACGACGAACGTCACACGAGAACAACTAAATTGTAATTTGGGTGGATTCAAACGGGTAAAGCTCGACCGTTGCGTCAAACGTGGACCTTAATTCGAATTCAGATCGACCAATACGTTCTATCCGTCTGATTCATGTGGATAGAACGTGTTGGTCGATCTCAATTCAGTCGGACGAACTCAGTTGAGTCAGACATCGAACCTTTCACGAAATTAATTCACCCAGTTTAGTTCGTCTCATGTGGAGTTCGACGTTTGACCTGGGCCTTAGCCTGATCCACCATCTGAGATTTCAAAAGTTAGAAACTTCAGAACAGCTCAAGCTCTTGGTTCGAAAACAAACAAACAAAGCCTAAGATAAAAGAAGTTTAGTCGTTTGGAATAAAAACTTTGTAAAAACAAAACAAAACAAAAACAATCGCTTCACAAAAACACTGAAATTTCCTGAAACATCCTTTGAAAACTGGGCTGCATAGTACGCCAAGTAACGTGGCCAAAAATGAAACACAGAAATGTTCCCTGACATACTTTAGGTACAGTCACACGACGGAGACCACTAAAACTTGCTGGTCAAGTTACTTAAAGTAATTACTCCTTCGGTCCATTATTACGTTACTATAGATAGTAATAAGTTAGTCATGTACGCAATACAATTTTCGTTTTCCATATTAGGGAGGTCGGCATCATTTGATAGCTTTTTAGATCTAATTTTAATATAAAAATATTGCTATATTTCTAAAAGCTTCCATTAAAAAGCCATACTGTTTTTCATTAGCTCCGTCAAAACCGCACCGCTAAAAAGCGAGGGAAAAAGAGACCCTTTTTCTCCAGCGCCGGTTGCGTTAAGGGCTGGCTTAATTTACTGCTCTGCGGTTTTAACTTTGCGTCTGCTCTCGACGGTTTTATCGTGTCGATCGTCCTATTCATGCATATTTTCGATCTACAGAATCTTATTTTAATAAAACAGTTGAAATTGTTTTTGTTTGATCAAGTCTTGACGGATTGAAATTTCACCGACTTTTCTCGACCGATAAGTTTAAGGCATTTCAATAAGTCTAGTGTAATTGATTAAAAATTTTTCTCCTTTCAAAATGTGCTCATGTAATGAAAACTGCCTAGCGATGAAAATTTCCCTAATATTTCAAATTTCTCGAACGATGAACAATGAACAGTTCCTGAAAGTTAAATAGTTTCTCAAGAGATGGAAATTCCTTGAACGAAAATATTTCCCCAGCGCACCAAATTTCTCGAACAATAGAAAGTGCTCGAATGATAAATCACTTTCAGAGCTATGAAATTCATGAGCGATTATATTTTCTCTGCTGAGTGAGGAACTTAAAGACAGTAAGCTAGAGTTTCCTGAGATTGACCATTGAAAAATCATCACACGAGAAAAACAGAAACAAAATCTCTAAGCGAGTTACGAAGGTTGTTTACCACTTAACCCCAAATTCCATAAATTTCGGTCAGAAAGTAAATAGCAAGACACTTTTGGCTAGACCGACCGGGAAAGTTTCGAAATCAACGGAACGTCTTAAATGGTAGTTGAAAATCTCCAACCGAAATTTCCGAGTGGATAATGTTCTTACCATTTGCAATTCTCATGCAAGTTGAGCTTCTCTCATCTCTTCCGCTAAATTGAATTTTTCAGTAAATGGTAAGTGGCCAATCCGAACGGAACCTACCGTCTTCTCTGTGTAAATGGTAAACAACCACAATATCGCTCGGCAAATCAGCTAAAAATGGTCTTTATCAACAGCTTATCTCATCGTAATCCTTACAGCCGGTGACATCTCGTTTTTATTAGGAATCATGCATGGTTCGTTAAAAAGGCTTCAGCAAGCCACGACGGCAGCGAGAACCTCAACAAACAAAAGGTTAAAATATATAGAACAATGGCCGTGCATGTACGTTATAAATTTGCAGAGTTCATAGGCGTCCTCTGCAAAACAACAGCTTGGAATGACCACGACCGCTAGGTTTTCGCATTTCCTTTCCTTTCCTATACCGACTTTACAAACATGTATTAAATTTGAGCAAGAGATTATAATCTGGATCATAATATCTTGGTTTGAGCAGGTTTTAAGACCGATTGGTGTCCTGAAAAGATAAAGACAAATGGGAAATTCGAAGGTAAAAATAATATTAAGCGTCGCCGACCCAATAACGCATCTCACCTGCTGCAGACACATATATAGTGTTTTTAACCATACATTTGCACCGTTTGAATAATACCCTGATTTCTAACGAGTAAGTCTATCAGACATGTTATCTCTACCTTATAATTATAATACGTCTTAGTCCTTACACCATTATAATACTGTTTAGTCAAAATAAGTTTCAAAGCAGGTAATAAATGTAATATTTATTCTTTAACGCAAAGCCACCTTGTATGCAGAAATTAAAAAGAAGCTATATTTTAGGCAGAGGCATTTCCTCTTTCTTAAGTGCTTTGCATCTTAAAGAGATGTTTGGATTATCAAAATCAATAGATTTTGCTGCTTTCTTACCTGTTTTCTGCATAACAAAGGCGGACAGAATTTTTGACAATTATTTTAGGAAGTAGAAATCTATCAACGTCCCGAGAAAGACGTGCTGATGTGTAGGACAAATGAACTCTGTGTGTGGCAGCTGAAGACCGTAGGCGGTTGTTTCCACAGCTATTTCGAGTTGTACAAACTCGACCGAAGCGCAAAGAAAATGGTTTCGATTTCTTTAAGGAAATTTTATCATAAAAAGAACATAAATCAATTGCTTAGTTCGATCAATTATCAAAGTGCAAATTCTCTTTGCCCGCGTCATAAGTGTGTCTACAGCTCGTGGTTATTTTGTGTTTCTATATGTATGATTTTCAGCACAGGCTTTCCTGTAGGACATTAGAACTGAAATAGAACTAAACGAGACAAAGTAACAATAGATGCTTCCGATATACGACTATATGTGAAAGGCCTTAAGCCGCAATGTCAACACGTCTTGTTGTTCGTCGTGGATTGAATTTCCCCGATTCCGAATTTTCAATGTTCTAAGCCTGGAGGAGTAACAAACAAACCGACTAGCCAGCACTAAGTACGATTGTTTTAAACACAAGATCGTTTTGTGACCTTATAGTGTCTGTTCTGGTTCAATAAATGAACAAATAATATGCGCGTTTTACTGAGTTCCTGTTTGAAATTAGTCAAACGCCAATGGTTATAGTTCTCGATTAAATCCAACATCGTTTTGCTCAAGGCATAACGGTTTATAATGTTTCAATTCATGCCCACGACACCAATGTTCATTCAAATTTTAGAATTCAAGCTCAATGTATGGTGCAGTATAAGTGCAGTATTATTAAACGATACCTTATGGTCACTTGGTAAGGCACGAACAATCTTCTTTCGCCAGCAGGTCGGTCAGCATTTAACTTTCTGGAAAATAATGAAAGTTTTACTTTGCAAATGCCTTATATTACCATTAGGTTCTGAAAATAACTTCATGCAAATAAGTCATTCATACCCGAAGCACTCCAACCCGTATTCTTGGCAACCTCAAAAATGCTAATAGATCACGATTCATAAAACGCCGCCACGTTTATTATGACGCGCGCGAGGGAGTAACTGACCAATCCTTATTAGCAGTTAGTTTTAATCTTTGTCAGCTGCGTATTGCTGTGTCGTAATTAGAACTAATTAAGCTCGCCGTTATTGAAATTTCCAGTCATCAAGATAGCATGAAAGTGGCTGTAGATCATTGCGTTCCATGACGTCTGCTAAAACAATCCTTCGTCGAGAACTCAATAAAGCTTTAAGCCTTTTATGTTGCAGGAAGATACAAAAAAAAGAAAAAAGAAAAAAAAAAAAACGTTTGTGTCAATATGCTTTCTTCTGTTGGAGGGTTTTCCTATTCTGATTCATCAAAGAGCACGTTTTCAGTCACCTGTCTGATATTTTCCTACGCAATTCAGATCTCGCCAACTCAAAATTTCATTATTGCAATAAAAAACTTCTGCGCCAATCCTCCTACGCAGATTTGCGTGCAGAGCGCAAATTGCATTTGCGTAAAGGATGTTATCTAAAACCAGTGATGTACTGTATAAGAGGTATTGCTTGCATACATGTGTGCTTTCTAGATGGATGGGCGTTGCAATCAATGAAGAAGCGGCTATTTTTTTGCCCCATTTGTTTGTTTTTTTGTTTTCTTTTTGCAGAGCAATCCAATTACAATTGAGGAAGAAAGTCTTTTGGTAAATCCATTGTAAATCACGTACTGTAAATCATCGTTTTGTGTTTTACTTAAGTCAATTTTAAGCGCGTGGGTGTCGACATTTCGGGAATTGAACAGGAATCCATTTGGTAATGGGCTCTTTGATTTACGCGTCAATTAATGAATAGATTTTGGGTGACGATACCAGGAGATATGCAATCTAATAAGGGAGATAAAGATATGAAAGAATAAACAGTTTTCCACAGAAAAAATTACATTTGTATACGCGATATCAGAGTAAGCCTTAATGAATAATCATAGCCAGCTTAATCGGCTTTTGGTGCGCCGGAATGCTTAATCCCCGTTTTTAATGCCAAGATGAATATTGCTTCGTGGTCTAAGATGTTTCAAACAGCTGCTGATGTTGACTGTCAAATGACCACCAAGTTAAAAGCTAGCCTCTGAGAGCGGAAGATAAATGATATTTCAGGCAGGACAAGAGCAGGACATCTTTGAATTCGACAATCAAACATCAGAGATAAATCGCCAATAGTGGGGTATGAGTTGCTCGCTCCTCAACTGCAAATTCTTAATATTCTGTAAAGCTAGTCAAAAATTATAATGAAGGAAACGAAATTATAACAAAGAGTTGAAAGCTCGAATATGGCAAGACTGTAAAATCTGATCTTTTTATCCCATTGTTATCATAATTTTTAATGATGATGACGTTGATGACTTTTTTTACTCACTGTGTGCGTCTCTGATTTCCTGAAACATAGTGAGATACAAACGACACTGAACAGCTGACCTCGCAACTAAGAGCAATCAAAATTTCAAACTCAAAGTAAAGCGTTGCGACTGCAACTGTTGCAAATACTCTGTTTTCGTTCAATTCGTCCACGAGTGGAACGATGTATCTGCAAATGTTGGCCGACAACCTGAACACCCTTTTTAAGAAAGCTCTGAAATCGTTTTTACGTATTTTATAATCTAGATTTTTAGCACTTGTATTTGTAATGGAATCTTTAGCATTAGCTTTTTAATACACATTTTATATTAGGGAAGTTTTTGTTACATAGGGTCCACCTCTTTAAACTCCTTTTCAAAGTAATTTTTCAGTTTGTTTTATTTTTTCTAACGCCTGAATAAAGTGCTGCAGTCCTGCAGTTTACCTTCAATTTAAAACATGGTTTTTTTTTTAAAGGGATCTATCAGTGTTTTTGAACTGAACATAGTGTTAACAATAGGCAAGTCTCACCCACTCTTCGCTACAAACCTATGTGCGACCTTGTCATTCTATAAACTGTCCCCGCCGGCTACGACGAGAAGAAATTAAACATCGGACTATGGTCGTTTTACATCAATGCCCAACGGCCAAAACGTAATCATTACGGCTAAGTTGCGTTTTAACGCCCCAACTGCTCTGTATCTCGACTGAAGCAGTAGCGCGAAATATCGGATCACAACTATCACATTTGAAGTCACTGACGATACCAAGCACAACGCATAAGAGCTAACAACTGCTAAGGTGTACACCTTGCCCGCGAGCAGACTCATCTTTGAATTGTAGTCCCACGTGTGGGGGGCAGGTGAGGGGGGGGAGTGGGCGAACAGCGAGTTGGCAAGGGAAGCAATCCGCCGACAGGAAGGTCACGCGTGTGCGCCTGAGCTTGTGATACTCAAACGTGAGACTGTTTTCAGACAAGTATACCTACACGCAAAGATAACTTCGCCAACGTTCCTTCGTAGCTTTAAAGGACAACAAATAAAAAAAACAAGTGTAGAGCGGCTGCGAAACGACCGGCTAAATGATCTGTAGTAGCTAGACTGCCAAACTAAAGCTTTGGTGGCGCATGAAGAAACGAATCAATGTAAAGAACAAAAAGGATCGATGTATTTAGTTTGCTGAAAATGTCGTAGAACATTTAACACCAAAAGAACTATGGCTTATATTGCCTATGCGTCATTTAAGGCAGCGACACAAGTTCAACTTCCTCTCGAAAGAGAAGTTCCCCGCCCACGGTGCAGTTTGCCAAATCCAGCTTCGAGAACGTGACGATTGTGGAGAGTTACTTCAAAATGCCTTATTAAGAGTTGATGCGTAAGTAAACATATCAACTGAAAACTCAAGGAAGCGTGCATTTCTGATCTATGGGACTCGGAGTACAAGTGGAATTATTTGATTGAAATGTCAGTTATCTCCCGCCCTTAGGCAGAGAACAGGAGACGACGTAACCGATTGCGGTTAAAATAAAAAGACACTTGAACTGCAATAATGTGTACGTGATGGTTGAATTTAAACCGTACAATGCACAACAAGCTGTATTTAAAAAAAGCAGTTTAACTTGCCAACGTATGCAAATAATGCTGACTAAAACTGTCAAATTGAGGGCCAAAAAACCACGAAAGCCATTAAGTAAAAAGAAATAGTGTACGTATAAGGGATTAGCGTCTATCAGGCTCAGCAAGTAGCCTGCGAACAGACTCCCGGCGAGGACGGAAAAAATTTCGGCGAGCACGAAATAGAAGAATTCGGAGAGCAAAGCCTGTTCGCAGACTACCCAGCAAGTGGCAAAGTGATTCGCAAAGTTATTGTAAAAGCGGACGCCTCGCGTTCTCACAATACTTCCGTTCTTAATACCAGTATTGAAGTCGCAAACAATCCAATCTGCTCTATCGATCCTGCCAAGGAAAGCTAGTATATTTTGACGAATATTTTCCGTAAGTTTGAGCATGAACGTTCATTAATTTGAAAAAGTTAAAGATGTTCTATTTATAGAGCAGTGTCACCAGTGACAGGTGTTTTTTGTCCCTCAATTTCTGACAAGTTTTACCGTTCATGTAATTCAGCGATTCAAACCTGCAGTCTGAACATGGGTAATTACTCGCGAATACACATTTTTTCCGTTCTTATGATTTGGAAAAGCATTTTAATGATGTCACACAATGGCAGCATATGTTTTTTTCGTATTTCTTTTTGTAAACAAACAACCACCCCCCTTAGATCAATTTGCCATGCATCCATTTCATTGCAAAAATTGGCAAGTTTGGGATCCCATATTATGATGAGTATAATGGATCCTTCTAAACTTCGCATATTTACTGAATTCAGCATAGGAAATACAGGAAATAGGAAATAATAAAATAGCTAGGAAATAATAAAATAGCGTAACATCCTCCAAAATGTCTATTCAGTAGAATAAGAGCTCAGGTTGATTTTTTTCCGTAGAGACCTCACTCTCGGTTAAAGATGATTTCCAGTCTGTACTGCGCAGTCTCAGCACCCTGATGTTTATAAACATTATTTAAGTCTCACTCGATGGAATACGAATCGATGTTATTCACTACCAACCACATACCTTAGCTTTGACTCCTTTCAAATTCTTTTTCCAACCGGCTTCATTCATTTTTACAGCTGCCAAATCGTTTCATCAAGTGATATGAGAAAGAACGAAGCATAAAGCTTCGCATCCACAAAGGCGGTTGACATGAGACTTTGAATTTACTTCATGTAAGTAGTTACGAAATGTTTACATTTTGTGATGTCTTACATGAAACAAAACAAAAAACTTAAACAAACTCTCGAGAGTGCGTTCTGGAAATCATCTTTAATAAGCACATATTACTGGATGAGGTGTTGTGTGATGACTAGAATGATCAAGGACAAAGACTGAGGCTGATAACTCTAACTTACCTCACATTGTAGTTTGAGCGACTTCGTTCTTTGCTGAAATTTGCGCTTAATTGATAGCTAACCGCAAAATAACCCGTACTCATACAGCTATGTGTGCACGTTCAACAAGTGACAAGATAACAGGAATGACCAATTCTCCTTATAAAACAAGCCTGCAGGGACTCATGGTAGTTGTATCAAGCATCTTTGACTGGATATTTGTTTCGAGAAAACAAATACCATAGTACCTAGCGGGCACGTCTCAAAGTGAATTGGTTATTATTTGCAGCTCACAGTATGGGAATTGGGAACCTAATGAATAATTGCAGTTTTAACTTGTAAGCTTCTGAAAGGAACTCTTAACTAGGCTCCTTTTTGCTTTACATAAGGGTAGAATAAATAGGGATTCATTCTGCGGGCGGTTTCTCTTCTAAAAAGTGCATATTTTATAAACGGTGACCTTCGAGCTCCAGAGTTAGATATCAAAGATAAAAAAACAAAACAAAACAAAACAAAACCAAACCAAAAATGAACAATGAAAAAACAAACAGAGAAGAAAGAAAAAACAAACAGACAAAATAAAACGACAACAGATGTCGTGGCAGGTCACAGAATATTTAAAACTAAAAGAAATATTTCGTAGATTACTAGTCCTTAAACTCAAAGTTAAGCATGTATTGAGGGATGTTTTCCATCTAAGGTGTAGTTTTTACATTTCTAACTTTGAGAACGTGACAATTGTTGAGCATTGTTTTAGGAAATAATATCAGCTGAAATATCAAGGAAACGTGCGTTTAAGACATCTGGAACACGGAGAAAAACGATGCTAAAAAAATGTTGAAATGTTGTTTATAGTGGTCAATGATAAATTTCGAAACTAAAGCAGGAGAAAAGTAAACAGATGAAAAAATGGACTTTAGAATAATACATTTACGTGTAGGTTGTTGACTCAATGGGCTTAAACGTTTGTATAGTTCTTTAGCTCAGACACTTGCCACCCATTACAGTTATAGTTAAAACGTCAAAGACATGCACAAGTTACAATGTGTACGTGATCTCTCTATTTAAACTGTACATCATGAGCAGCTGTATATATTTCCGTTTGGGCGATCTTCATTGTTCGAGAACGTGTACAAATAATATTGACTAAAACTGACAAACTGATGGCTAAAAAATAAACAAAAAATCACGAAAGCCATTAAACGAACTGAAATTAGCGTTTTTCAGGCTCATTAATTGACAAATTGATTAGCAAAGTTCTTGTAAAACGGACGCCTCGCATTCTCACATTAATGTAGGTAAATACTTCCGTTCTAAAAGCCAGTGTTAAAATCGCAAACAATCTAATCTGCTCGATCGATCCTTCTAAGGAAAGCTAGTATATTAAAAAAAAAAAAGTTTCTGCAAGTTTGAGCATTTATTAATTTTAATTGAAGCAAAGTTAAAGATGTTCTATTTACAAACCAGCACCGGTAAACGGTGTTTTTGTCTCTCAATTTCTGACAAGGTTTGCCTTATGTTTAATTCTAACTTGCAATTATGTTTTGATCCTGTTATTTGCATTATTATACATTGTGGTCACCATCTGTCTTCTCATGGGCTAAAAGCCTACAGTTAATTCTGGGAAACTTTACAACCTACAGATTATTCACTAATCTGCTAGAAGATTAGTAAATAATACGTAGGAACATGGCTTGTCGAAAATAAACTGTGTTCGGTGCCATAATGCGTTTGTCGTAATTTTCTTTAGAACAATGTACAATAAAACAATTATGAGATTCGGTTTTTGTGATATCCGAAATAATCAAGGTCTCGGATTAATATTATCAGCCTCAGCCTTCGGCTAAGGCTGATAACACTTACCTCGACCTTGATTGTTCCGGATATCACAAAAACCTCATCCAGTAATTATTTATAATTGTAAGGAATAGACCATTTTGACGATGGCACGCAATGGCAGCAATTTTTCGTATTTTCATTTCTAAACAAACACCCACCTCACGAGATCAATTTATTATGCCCACTGACTTTCATTTCTTTGTAACACAGCAAGATTGGGTTCCCATATTATCATGAGTGTAATACGGATTCTTCTGAAATTTGCTATAGGAATAAATTCAGCATAATAAACAGAGCGTTAATATTTATTTTTTTTATTTCGTTATTATTTCAATGAAAAAATAAAAATGGGAAGGCGTAACAAACTACAATGAAATTGTCTATTCAATACAGCAAGACCTCAGTTAGAAATTTTCCCGTTAAGACCTTACTCTCGGTATATAAGTACATATTATCAAGGATGGATGAAGAGAGACCGATAACTCTAACTTACCTCACATTCTACTTTAAGTGATGGCTTCTTTCTTTGTTAAAATTTGAGCTTCACAACCAGCGAAGAAAACCGTACTCATACAGCTATGTGTCCACATCTGCAGGGACTCATGGTGGTTGCGTCTATCATCTTTGACTAAATATTTGCATCGAGAATACAACTGCCATGATTCAATGCAGGCGCGCCTCAGAGGAAATTGGTCATTATTTGCAGCTCACAGTTCACTGAGGGATAATTTATGTATCTTGTTCCTCACACTTAGATACAACATGTGCATAATTAATAAGCTTTGGCTGATAGACTATGAGCTCTGTTTGCTGGGAAATGAGACTCAACACTCCCAAGTGGGATATAATGGCCAGACGTGTGGCCATCAATTTTCATAGCAAACTTAGAAAACTTAAATTACAAACATACCAAAGTATTAGCGCAGCAAAGGTGAGGGAAAAACCAGCTAAGCCCGCCATGAGGAACGAGTGAAAGGCAAATTTCCTTCACTTGCTGAGAATGCTGGGCAAAAGAGAAGGTGGACCACATTTAGCAATATCTATATCCCGAAT